TAATAACTATTCTCCAACTATTTGGGTTGGTCTAATAAAAGATATCAAATTCACCCAAGGAACCTTGTCTGCCTATGTCCTTAGACCAACACGGCTACAACCTACACCCCTGCAGCATGTTTTAAGTGTAACATCTGCCTGGAGTCATAGAAACATGAATTTTATAACTCGCAAGTTTTGACAACAAGAAATGTAAGTATAACAGCATCAAAAATCATGACATATTTAATCACTTACTGTAGCTTCATGTTTCTCTATATAAGCTTGACATTTTCCTGTTTTGTAAAGAGATATCTAAATCAATAAGAAAAGAAAATTCTTTCAATGTCTGAACATATAAGGAGTATATAAGAAGCACCTGATAGCACAACCTTGCATTTCTATCCTGTATTAACCACTCCTCTGGAGCAAAGTCTTTGATAACAGTCTTAATTTATGATTACTATTTACTTTTATTGCTATAATAGACCATTAATTATGGACTAGAATGCCATTTGTGGCAGAGGCATCAAATAAAACTGCTCAGGACCTAAATGTCCTAAAGCAGTGGTGTCAAACTCACCCTGTGCCCTGGGCCAGATCTGGAACATGAGGCTCCTTGTGAGCTAGATCTGCAGGGCAAGCGGCAGAGGTGGTGAGGCCAGCAGCTGCAGCAGAGCAAGCAGTGGTGGCCAGACGGCAAATGGAGGTGTGCTAAGTGGCCACAAATTAAGCAGCTGTGTGTCATGTGAGCTATATCAGACTACCTGTCTGCCACTGATGGTCATGCCCAGTGGGGACCTATATCCCTGGATTCTATGTCCCCCTGGCAGCCCCACCTCAAAATTCACTGCCCTACCCGAAGCCCAGAAAGCCAGATAAAGCAGGTCTGCAGGCTGGATCTGGTGCATGGGCAATTGACATCCTGGTTCTAAAGTACAGATGGTACCTAAAAAAACCCCCAGAGGACAAAGGATAATTGCTGTCAGTCTGTTACCTGGGCTGACAAGTCCATTTTCAAGTGAGTCAGGAAGAATGATTTTATTCTATGTCCTTAACTAACCACCAAAGCTAAATATATCATTAATGCAGTTGTGTGGAAATGTTTTATTGACAAACTTATTTTATGTTTTGTACAGTCTTAAAAAACGTATAAAATGTAGGTTCTCATCTGTAAATGGTCCAAACCATTCTCCTCTTCACTCTGCCCCTGCTTATTATCGTGCTAGGTTATATCCTACCTGCTTTGAGACACAGTGAGTTGATACCACACACATGCACAGAGTATAAAATGTATAGTTATATGCTATATTAAATAACCTGGAAATTTAGTTTACTATGGGCACGTCTACCCGAGATGGTTACTGCAGATTAGCCTAATAATAGCATAGTAGCACGTTACAGCACAAACTGTGCTATTAGCTTACTGTGCTTATATTATTATTATTATATTAGGCTAATGCACAGTAAGCATCACTAAATAACTATACGTTGGCACTTCTGCGCAGTAATTCTAGGTACTGCGCATTTGGTACTTTATTAAGCGAGTACTAAGCTAAATGTGCAGTGTCTAAGGAGTATTAATGAATGTGCAGACATGCCCTGTAAAAGCTATTTAAGAGATCAGCCATATCAGACAAAGGTTGCCCCAGCATTTTACATGAAATCTTAAGTTCTTTGATGTCAATATGTCCACAGGTACGTTCAATACAATTCTGCTCCATCTCATCACTTAAGGGAAATGTCCCTGTATTTTGTATTTAAGTGCATGTGGAAAGTATGTCATTATGTCATCATCACTATCCTTTCAAAGAGCTATTTCTTCAACAGAGGAATAATATGCCATATATACTGTTAGTGTTCAGTTGTTTGTTTCATGTGAGCACACTTATACTTAAATTGTATCACATATTAAGTTTCTGATATTAGTTTTGATAAATAAGCCTCTAAAAAGAGCTACATATTAACTCTCTATATATGTGATGTTACTACTGACCGCCATTACAGCTAAAACTTCATTCAGAGTTCCAGGTACAGGTGAGGACAGGACGTCTTGATGCAGAAACAGCAATTGCCTATGAAGATAAAACTTTCAAAATTAAGTATAAAAAGAATTTCCTTTAAATTGATCTTGTTATCTCAGCACTACATTACATTCATTTTAATTATTTCTACTAAAGCGTTAGTACATTTTACATTAAGTTTCTAGTAGTTTGGTAGTAAATGCTGGATAGCTCAGGTTACTAATTTATATTTCATCCAAATTGGTCAGAGTCAAAAACAGTTACTTGCTATCCGTAGTAAAAATAGCTGTTGTGAAATTAAACAAAATCCACAATCAGGGCCAGCCTAATGACAATTTACTGAACACTTTTAAAACAAATGGAACATTTTGCTGTTTTTTAAGCAGCTATTGCCTACCTCAACAGAGGAGGTCCAGGAAAAAAATACACAGTATCCCAAGGTGATTAAGAATTTCATTGATCTTCTTATTTGTAATAACATTACTACTTATAAATTATTTTTATCAGAACAATTACTTCTGAAAATAGCAGCTCTCAAAATTATTTGCCTTTACCTGCAAATCTTCAACTGTGTATTTCTAATCTGAGTTTCTGACACAGCAGAACTCAGTGTAATTTTAATGGCATAGAGTTTTTGTAGATCAGGCAGACTGACAAAGAAGAGAGACTGGTCTCTAGTGTCATTCATCATCTTCTGTTGATTATTTCAACACAGCAACCTAGTCTTTAATAGAAAAATATTCTTATTTATCAAAACAAGGTGGGTGTTACATAAATATATGAAAGTATGCAACCAAATTAATCAATACAAATGTATTTTGGTTAATGTTAGGTAGGCTTTTATAACTTTTAATAGCTTGGTCAGCTATTATAGATAATTTGTCATATTTATAGCTACTGCAATGCATAAATCTCCAAAAGCAATGTTAAAGTAACATTCTGGGCCTCATCTTATATTAACAAATAAAAAAAAATTCAGGTTTAAGTCAAGGATGACACTCTCCATAAATTATTCTCTTATGCCTAAAATGGGTTTGATCATGTAATCTACTAGGAAACACATTTTTCATCATCCTCTCCTCCTATATGAAAATGAGATTTAGCTACCTGTGAATTGCCCCTTCTCCTTACACCAAAATCTCAGTAGGAATTTCTCCAGTGAGGCAAGGGTAGTGGGCAAATTGTGGAGGACAATACAAGCCATGGAAAACACTTAGATCCCCATCCTGCACCCCTGTGGGATACCTTCTGTACTACACTTCTGTCCTCTTCACCAGATTTGTCTCAACCTGTATGGAACACTGTATTCTATATAGGTTCTCAGACATCCTCATTGCCCTATTATCTGAGTGCTTTCCAGCAGTTAAGCAACATACCTAACTTCTATTACATATAATTTGTTCTATCATCCTCTCCTCAGAGCAAGAAGTTTATGCAACTGTGTATTTTGTGTGGGGGCAGGGGGCTGAATTTTTTTAAATATATTTGCTATGACGCATGCCTTGTCACAAAACTGAACAAACTATGACCAGCAATTGGAGTGGGATCAGTTTTGTGATGGTTTCAGGCCACCCAAAAAGCTCTCACCCCCACACAGTCTCTACCCCTATTGTAGAAAATCCCATTTATAGAGAAGCAAAATGACTGACCATCATTTTCATCCTGGTGCTTTATGCCTTCACTTGAATATCTTAGGGTCAGGCCATTGAACACCATCAAGATAACAACTAAGACATAGAACTTGATATGCTATTGAAAGTCAGTATAGAAAGTAGAGGTCAGCACCGATGAATTCACTGTAGGCTGCATTACTGAGGAGAAATTGTAGCATTCTGTACTAGTTTGAGTTTCTCAGGTGCCGGAAGCCACATTGAATCAAAGAGTTTCATGATGAAAAATCTTTCTTTTTAAGCTTATTACTGCTAGTTTTCTCACAGGAGTAGAGAGTTAAGGGCCAGGTCCACAGCTGATCTTACTTGTTATAATGGCTCCAATATAGCCACAGATTATAACAAAAACCTATGACAGTTTACACAAGCAGAAAATCTTATGCCCTTATTTCTTCCAATGCAGCTCAGCTAATTGAGAAGGGTAGTGTATAGCCTGCTTGAAACTAGATCACTTATGGCACAAAAAGTTAATGAATAGCTTTTTTATTGCTCCGAGAAAACTTATTCCAGTCTTATAACAAACTCCATATCCTCATTTAATATAAATATTCCAGAGAGCAGAAATAAAGACTGCTTGAATTTAAGCCCCAAGCCCAAACACTACTTAACAAAAAAAGCTTATTTTCACTCTCCTCTCCTCACTCGCATGAATAGATATAATATGAAATCTGGCATTTTCACCAGAGCAGTGAAAATAGTAACCAAAATAACGCAGCATCCTTGCTCAAAATGTGCAGGCACTACTCATTCATCTTAAAAGACAATTTTGTAAATGATGGTAAATCTGGACGAATATTTACCAGGGAACAAACATCAAAGATGAATGTTACTACAGCAGTCTTGGTTTGTCTTGCTTACAATAAGAGCACATATATTTAAGTTTTAAGAGTAAGAGAATCCATGGCCAAAAGCAATCCTATGTAAAATGAGAGCAGAATGAGATGTGGTCCTGCAAATGTTATAAAACAAAACTGAAGTCAAGTCACAAGAATCCAGAACAAAATACATAGCCCGTCCAAGCGTTCACATTACCTGAATCGCCTTCTCTGAAGCCACAAGACAGTCTTAAGCTGTGAGAGTTAAAATTTGCCTTCTTTTTATTTATCACTGGTGTCTGTAAGATATATTCACTTCACATTGTAAACCCTTTGCAAGCATCAGGGTAAGAAATATTCTTAAAACATGAAAGCTGCAATAGTTACCTAACCATACGATACCAAGAACTATGGCCTTTAAGAAAAACATCAAGTAGTGGAAGATGCATCATCATCCTACATAAAAGAAAATAAAGGGCCAGATCCTCAGCTCTCATAAGGCTTGTTGTGGTACGCAGTGGCCAGTTGGGATTTTCCCAAGCAAAGATGACATATAGCCTGCATAGGAGGAGTGTGCTAAGGGCACTGTCCCTGATGTAGGGAGGTTCAGCAATCCCTGGTTGACACAACTGCCTAGAAACAGCTGTATTCAACTGTAAATTAAATCCTTCTCAGCCATCAAAAATTCGGGTACTCTGATATGGCACACCACAGGGACCTCAGAGACAGCTTAGAAAGGCCCAGAAATGTGACCTTTGCACTCCTTCGTCGGCTGTTGCAGTGTGGACAGTACCCGCATTGCCCTCCCCTCCCAATGCACCAGCATTGCAATCTCATGGCTGGAATGAGGAGAAAGGAGCCAGAGAGCAGTCATCGCCTCCCTGATACAAACACACTCCCAATTCTTGCCAGGCCTGCACTGACACAGCTGTTCCAGACAGCCATGGGGGTGAACGCCACCGCCATTGGCAGCTTACCTGGCCCTGGGGACGCCCTGCTGTCTGGATTCGGCCTACGGGCTAGAATGGGTGGACACTCTGGTCTATGCACCCTTAGTTCCCCATCTTGCACCAAACACCACAGAAAAAAAACAACCCCAAAAGCATGAAGCCCCCTAGTGGACAGTTCAAGGGCACATTTCCCTCAGAGACCTGTGCTCTAGCCAGGAGGGTCTGGCTTAGAGTTGGAAGAAAGGAAAGCCCCCGATGTTTTATTCACAGTGTCCCCTCTGCCCAGAGGCCGCCTCAGCAGGTGGTGCCATCCATGAGGCGGGTACCTCGCCCCCCACCCCACCCCACCCTGTGGGGACAGCATCTGCCTGCGACTGCTGCCCTCAGCCCCTGGACACCCTGCCCCCACCATCCCTTAGTCCCACAGCAGGGCTGTGACACCCGTGCAGGGGGCTCAGCTGCTTGCATTAGCTAAGCAGGTGCTGCTTAGTTCTCCACCTGGATGGGAGACCTGGGACCTGTCAAATGTATAGGTGTGAAGGAGATGGCAGGTGGGAAAAGCAGCTGCAGCTCCAGGATTCATTGTACTTGGGTGCAGGAGAACTAGAGCTAGCTGTGCCTATGCAATACAGAGCACATGTTGGGGCATGTCCCTTGGTGTCAGGCTAAAGCCCTTGTGAAAGCCCAATGAAGTGGCTTCCTGCCTCCCCAAGTTGCTGCTTGCTGCTGCTGTGAGTCACTGAGGAGTAGGAGGAGATAAAGGTGATGTTACAGATTGACTGGAACAAGTGCCCTGCATCCTCAGGGCTGGGTGTGCATGGGGCTGAGTTAGAGCTTGCTTTTTTTCATTAAACAAAAGCTCCATCTGGGGCAGAACAAAGCCAGTTCACTTATATCCACAAGATGTCCAGCTAAATAATTTTTGAACTTCATTTAACTTGCACTCAGTTATTCTATCTGAAGGTCTACAATGACTGTGCACTCGTTTTGGAAAACTGAAGTGTTGCAACTGAAGGCCTGGTCTGCACTGGTACTGTAAATGTGTTGAATACCATTGTATTCCTCTTGGAAAGGTTTGTTTTCTGTTAATTGAACAGAGAGGGTGTTAGCCCTGTTAGTCTAAAGTCAGGGAGAAGGCAGGGTAGAGATGTACCTTATAGATTCACTAAATCAGAGATGCATAAGCCCCAGCTCCCTTCATCAGATGCTGTGAAACAGCATGTACAGAACAGTCTATTAACTAAAGAGAGTGATGTGAATACAAAAGTGTAAGAGTGACGTAGCTGTGGCAGTCCATAAATTATGCATGAGGCAAGGATTTCTCAGGGTGATACCTTTTATTGTAGAAGGTTTTGTAGAAGGTATTGTAAAAGGTTAGCTTTTGCATCCAAAAGCTAACCTAACTTTATCCCAACTACTTAGTCAGTTCAATAAAAGATATCACCCTAAGAAATCCTGGCTTTTCTGAATACAAAAGACAGGAAACAGGGGGAGACACAAACTAGCAACAAACCCATGGGGCCCAAAGGGTCACTGAAGCTAATCCAAGTAATGGGATAAGAATCTGTAGTCTCTGTACAGATTCTTATCCCATTCAGATTCAGTAGTTCATACTTAACACAATCCAGTTTGTGGATGATTTCTTGTTCTGCAATTTCAGGTTTTGTATTCAAATCATTCTACCAGATACACTGCATCTATTAGACGCACAGAATCTGATGAAGTGAGCTCGAGCTCACAAAAACTTATGCATCTCTGATTTAGTTAGTCTGCAAGGTACATCTCTACCTTGACTTTGTTGAAACTGAGGCACTTTGATTTCAAAGAAGCTGCAACTATCAAACTTTGGTGTTGCAATTCATAGGATCGAGGCCAGAGGCCTTGTCCATACTTGCCTGCCTTGGCTGCAAGAAGTTTTGGTGAGAGATAGCAGTTGTCCCAACCCAGCAACTTCATATCTATGTGCAGCTCTGATGTGCCATCATGGGGCAAAGGCAACAAAATCTGAAGGCCCTGCAGCAGCTGGCAGAAAGCTGGAAATCTCCCTATGTATGTGCTGGCAGGAGCATACACCTTGATTCCCTGCCCACCGCCTCAACCCACAGCAGAGGTGCGTTGAGGTGGTTTAAAGGAGGATCCTGTAGGGGGCGAGCACTACATTATTCTGTTTTAGATCAAAGGATAAAAACAAACATAATTATGGGAAAGTGCACTAATGTGCTAGATGCTATAGAAAGTCTAAAAATGCACAACAAACTGGATAAAAAATAGCCAAAATATGTTGTGCTATTAGTGCTAGAGTCATTTTAGTTAAATGTGCACCTCTCATTTGGATTCAAACCCCCAAACCTAGCCTTCTGGAAGGTCTTGACAGAGCCTCCAATATGTCAGCATCACTCATTTTGATGCCTGAGTTCATATGACCAGACCCGAGTTCAGGTTTTGAGCTAGAGATGAAACCAAGTGAGCAAGGCTGCGAAATGGAAGAGACGTTCCCAGGAAGGGCAACATTGCAGGAGAAGGGCTAGTTTGAAGGGGTGGAACATCAAGACCATTAAAAAGGAGAGAGGATAGCTAACACAGATGGAGTGGAGAGAGATTAGCAGGAATCAGGAAGCTGATAAGGAGCCATGAAGTCAGTTATGCCAGAGGTATAATTCTCTGGCATCATTTATCTCGCATAACATCTCTGGTGCACTTTCTTGACCTTCAGGACTACAATTTCCTTCTTCCACTGCCATGAAGTCAACTGACTCTGTGGGTGAGTGACTGGAAATGCAGCTGCCCCTGCCAGGCAGCTGGTTTTGAAGTCTGGGTGGAGCAAGAATCAAAAGGGGAGAGGGATTGCAAATGTGCCATGGCACACCCCTCCGCCCGAATCTGCTCCTGGAGCACAGCATAGGGCAGTTTCTGAAGCACCGTTAACTGAGGAGGACCCAAAGGGCAGGTGACCAGGGCTAACTCCCTTTGTCAGTGCATGAGGAAAAAAGGGAGAGGATATGGCAGTATTGCCTGGCCTTAAATATTAAATGATCATATTGGAAGCTCAAAATTATCGTATTTGCTGAAAAACTATCGTACGCTGAAAAAATATGCAAATAATCATGCAACTAAGTATGCAAGTAAGTTATCTTCTTATTTACTTTATATTGTTCACTCTAAGTAGCCAGTGAGTGAGAACGGGGTCATCAAATCTGAAGCATTTATTTCGAGTCAAGCAAATAGGGGGCTGGACCCCGAATTAGGGGGCTGGACCCTATGATCTTACAAGGCCCCTTCCACCCCTTATGTCCATGAAATCTAATGTCTATGAAAAAACAGTCATAAGAAAGTGCTGACAGCAAGCCCAAAAGTTGGCCTCTTGTGGGCAAAGATCAAGTGTAGTTGCCATGCTGGTCTGTTGCCCAGACCGAGATGGATTTGAATAGCACTGTGTAGTGGAAGGTGCACCCATGTGGTACACTGCGGACACAACACCCTAGAGTGTCTTGTAATTAGCTTCCCAGTGGTCAGTTTCCAGTGGGAGGATCTCTGCTACATGCTGACTTTATGGAAATGGGGGACTCCTCCCTAGCTTGCTTCTGTGACTGGAGCTGTCCCTAGGGGCGTGCGGGGTCCAGGGCATATCAGCCTGTGCAGGGCTGGGGGGTGGGGGTGCCTACCGTCCACACAAGCTGATGGCGGCAGTGGTGGGGCCGTGGCGGCACTGTCCACAGGGTCCCTGAAAGCATGGGGCCTGGGGCGGTCACCCTGATTCGCCCCTTCAGGGATGGCCCTGCCTGTGACGGTTGCCTAAGGGCAAATGAGACCCAGGGGCATCTGAACCCCAAGACCTCTGGGCTTGGGCCTGCACAAGGATGCCTGCCAAAGGATTTGGGAGCATCTGAAGCCCCAAGCTCAAAAGCCCTGTGTGGAGGATACTTGCCCATTCTAGCATCACATATAGTGCTTGAATGATTGAGTTTCGCTCAGTTGAGAGGATTTGGAACTGATTTGGCTGATTTGACCTGGCATATGAAACATTTTCCAAAAAAAAGGAAAAAAGTCAAGACTCCCCCAGTGTGATTTGGGTTTTGCATATGCTGCCTCAATTAGCTGCCTCAGAAATGACCCTGCAGGTTGAACCATTTTACTATGATTGATCATACATCCTAGACAGGTTGCAATTATTGGACAAATACGATAATTATTGTACTGGGCTGTGGCCAAGGCTCAGGCTCCTTCCCGCCCGGGGGGGGGGGGGGGGGGAACAGATGACCTCCAGAAATAAAGGGCTCAGGGGCTTTAAAAAAAACAAACCATGTAATTAAATAAGGTTAATTTATGTTAATGTTGATTTATGATTAATGTAGGTGACTGCCCCCCTTCCGCTCAGGTTTGCAGCTGGGTGCCCGTGCACATTGCCCCCTCCCTTGTTGACCTGGGACCACCCCCACAGGGGGGAGGGGCTGCGAGAGCGCTGGGGGCGGGGCTCGAGCAGGGTGACGTCTCCGAGCGCCGCCGGGTGGGGGGGGGGAAACTAGCACGAGTCCCCGCGCACCGACACTACCCGGCTCGTGACGCCAGATTCGTAGAACTA